CTTTCACTTTGTGGCACCTTTTGGAATGAGGATGAGCGAGGAAGATGCATGTGGCAAAATGTGCATCATTCAGGATGACATTGGCAGTGGCAGGTGTTATCATCCCTGAGGAATTGTTGCTGATAATTCTACAGATCATGTCCTCCAGAGACTGAAGAGGTGCTAGTTGCATTGTGTGCTGTCAGCTTCCTCCAATTGTATCTCAGTTTCGCCCCAAGGTTTAAAAAGAATGGGCAGTATGTCATAGTCATACAGCATGGAAATAGACCCTTCGGTCCAACTTGCCCATGCCGACGAGGTATCCTAAACTGAACTAGTCCCATTAGCCTGCATTTGCCTTATGTCCCTCTAGACCTTTTTAACTCATGCACATATCCAAATATCTTTTAAATGTTGTAATTCTACTCACCTCTACCACCTCCTCTGGCAGCTCATTCCATGAAGGAACCACTGTGTGTTTGAAAACATTGCCCCTCAGGTCCTTTTTAAATCTTTCCACTCTTACCTTAAACCTATGCCCTCTACTTTTGGACTGCCCTGCCTCTCATGATTTTATAAACCATTATAAGGTCACCCCTCAGCTTTCTACACGAGGGAAAAAATTCCAGCCCATACAGACTCTCCCTATAACCCAAAGCCTCCAGTCTAGGTAACATCCTTGAAAATTTTTTCTGCTATAGAAAGGATGTTATCAAACTGGAAAGGGTGCAGTCTTGTATGCAGTACTCTAAAAGTGGCCTCAACAATGTCTTGTACAGCCACCACATGACATTCCAACTATTATACTCATTGCTCTGATAATGAAGGCAAGCTTGCCAAATGCCTTCTTCACCACCCTGTCTACCTGTGACACCACTTTCAAGAAACTACATACCTATACCACTAGGTCTCTCTGTTCAACAACACTCTCCAGGGCCTTATCATTGACTAAGTCCTGCCCTGGTTTGTCTTACCAAAATAACTCCATCTGCCACTCCTTGGCACATTGGCCCAGCTGATCAAGATTTTGTTGTACTCCGAGATAACCTTCTTCAGTGTCCACAATACCACCAATTTTGGTGTGATCAACAAACTTACTAACCATGCCTCCTATATGCTCATCCAAATAATTTATATAAATGACAAACAACAGTGGACACAGCACCAATTCTTGCAGCAAACCACTGGTCACAGGCTTCCAGTCTGAACAACAACCTTCTACTACCACCCTGTCTCCTACCATCAAGCCAATTTTGTATCCAACAGGCTAACTCTACCTGGTTGCAATATGATTTGACCTTACTAACTAGTCTATCATGTGAAACTGAGTCAAAGGCCTTGTTAAAGTCCATGTAGACAGCGTCTACTGCTCTGCCTTCATCTACCTTCTTGGTGAGCTCTTCAACAAATTCAATCAAGTTTGAGACAGGATTTCCTACGCACAAAGCTATGCTGACTATCGCTTATCAGTCCTTGCCTTTCTAAATGCATTTAAATCCTGTCTCTCAGAACCCCCTCCAACAATTTACCCACCACCCACCATGTCAAGCTCACGGATCTATTGTTTGCTGGCTTTTCCTTGCAGCCTTTCTTAAACAATGTCACAACATTAGCCATCCTCCAGTTTTCCAGCACCTCACCCATAGCTGTCGATGATACAAATATCTTTGCTATGGCCCCTGCAATTTCTTCCTTGGTTTCCCACAATTTCCTGGATACAATTGATCAGATCCCAGAGCTTTATCTACCTTTATGCTTTAAGATTTCGTGACGTGGGCTGTTTTCAAGGCATCACTATTTATTTCCCCAAGTTCCCTAGCTTCTATGTCTTTCTCCACTATAAATACTGACATGAAATACTTGTTTCTCTCGTGGTTCCATACATAGAAGGCCTTGATGATCTTTGTAGGGTCCTATTCTCTCCAGAGTTACTCTTTTGCCCTCAAGGTAGTTGTAGAATCTCTTTGGATTCTCTTTAACCTTATCTACCAAAGCCATTTCACATCCCCTTTTTGCCCTTCTAATTTCCCTCTTAAGTGTACTCCTTTTCCCCTGTACTCAAGCGATTCACTAGGTCTCAGTTGTCTATAACTGACATATACCTCCTTCTTTTTCTTGACCGGTACCTCAATATCTTGAGTCATCTCAAGTTCCTTACTCTGACTTGCCTTGTCCTTCACACTAACAGGAACATACTGTCGCTGAACTCTTGTTGTCTCACTTTTGAAAGCCGCCCACTTGCTAATTGTCCCTTTTCTTGTGTACAGCCTCCCCCAGTCAACTTTTGAAAATTCCTGTCTATTACTGTCAAAATTGGCCTTGCTCCAATTTAGAACTTTAACCTTTAGACAAGGTCAGTCCTTTTCGGACCGTGTGCGGGCAGATGGGATTAGTTTAGAATAGCATCAGGGTTCATTTAGACATGATGGGCTAAAGGCCCTGTTGCTCTGCTGTGCTCTTCCATGTTCTATGTTCTAAAGGACTCTCTCTCAACCTGAATGCGGGAATTCAATCACAGTCAAAAGGGCTAGTGACTTCAATCAGTATATGAAACCAAAAATATCAAATTTTGCCAGAATCAAAAAATCAAGAGGACATAATTCTATTAATGCAATCCTAACATTTTTCCTGAAGGTCTGCATTTGTACAGCAGCACGCCAGTCATGGGCATATAATACAATGTCTGCAGCAGCTTTTGGAAAACCAATCTTGAAGCTATTGTGTGTTGATTAGTGTCCAAACATTTAACAAATTTACTCGCTAATTAGTTCCTCGGTAGTAAAAATACTACTGTGGATGCTGAAAATCTGGAACAAAAGGAGGAAATACTATAAATACTCGCCTGCTGTAATAACAACTGGAGTGAGAGATAAAATTAATGTTTCAGGGCAGTAATATTTTGCCAGAATCAGAAAAGTTTAGACCTTGTTCAGATTTTGTGCCACCACGGGGCAGCAAGAGTGTGGTGGAAGGAAACGACAAAAGTGAAACCAATTGATAGCATGGAAAACAGGAGTGATTAAATGGCAAAAGGGGTTCTGGTGGAATAGGGTTGATAATAGAGCGAGTATTGAAATGAAAGCTGCATCTAAAAGGGCTGAAGTGTCAAATTAGGAACTGTTACCTTTAACTGCTGTCCAAACTGCTCCCTCGTACAGTCACCACGGCAACCAATGCCTCTTTCCATCAGAGTTCACTTGCCACAAAGTAGTGTTGTCCCCTTTGAGAATTGGTATTCTTGTGATTCTTCCCTGATGAAGGCAGCATGTCTTTTTACTTTTAATCTAATATTAGTATTGCTGTAAATTAATATTAAATTGCTTGGACTGCAGATCTCAGATTCAATGGGGATAAAACTTGAGTCTACAACATTGTGTCAATGCTACTGAAAACTGGAACTTCAAAATCTTCTGACATGATATGCTTGAAAGAAGACAGACACGTGTGTTGTACATGTGCCACAAGGATGCAGTGGGCAGACTGTGGTGTCAAACAGCGTCTAACACTGATTTGATGCAGAAACTGCCATTTTTGACCTCACAGTTGATTAAACATTCTCTTAAACTTGTAGGTAGACACGCATTCAATAGAAAGGACTATGCCACACGACTGCTGTTTACAGGCACTACCTTGGGAATTCCAGGAGAAATGTTTCTGACTTTCATTTCTTTCCTCAAATTGCATGAAAGGAGGACCAAGTGGATGACAGCAAAACAGAGGAACTGGTTTGTGTCTCTTTTTCTTACATTGAGGGTTTAATGTGCACACAAGCTATTTTTTTAAACCACGGTTACTATTTTGTCACAGCTAACATCCTGTTTTAATATTTATATTAAAAAAAATCAGCAAGTGCTTTCAATAAAAGGTTGTATCCATTAAGGGTCTTTGGAGGTGTCTTGGAATGTGGCAATGTCAAGGGATTTACAAATTAAATTCATCGTCTCATTCTTCAGAATTCCTTCAGTTTCTGTGCTTGTATTGTAGACATAATGACACCAAAACAGAGTTCCTGGAGTTTAGTCATATGGCAATCCCCCTGTTAATGATGGACATGCTTGTTATTTTGTTATTGTTGTGTCTGCAGTTTAAGTCTCCTTATCTGAGAGGGATGTTCTCGCTATACAGGGAGTGGAACAAAGGTTTAGCAGATTTCCTGGGAATGACAGGATTGATGTATGAAAAGAGGCTGGATTGGTTTCGGACTATATTCACTAGAGTTTTGAAGAATAAGGGGGTATCTCATAGAAACCTATAAAATTATAGCAGGGCTAGACATGGAAAACTTAAGTTCTAACGTTCTAATGAAAAGGGAATCCACAATCAGGGGTAACAGACTAAGGATATGTGGTATTCTCTGCCACAGAAGGTTGAGGCCACAACATTGAATGTTTTCAGGAAGGAATCAGATATAGTTATTAGGGCTAAAGGGATCAAAGGGTTATGGGGAGCACTGGGAACAGGGTATGGAGTTAGATTATCAGTCATGATCATATTGACTCGGACAACAGGGCTCAAAAGGGCTATTTTCTTTGTTTATCACATTGCTTTTTGGAATTTCCATGTGCAAACTGGCTGTTATACTTGTTTACATAGCAAGAGATGGTGAACGTCAAAGCTAATTAACTTTGTGGATTACACCTCAACACCCTAAAGCTTTAGGAGCCAAATGTGTCCAAGTATGGATGTGAATTGTAGTCTTTGAGTACTGAACTGTAGCAAATAGGTAAGTGATTGATGCAAGGAAAGTTAAAAACTGATGACAGTAGAGTGGAAGAACTGAATGGCTTTCTATTATTCCTACAGTAAAGTTTTTAAATGGGCATACAGCAACATATGTATATGTTTTAAAAATATTGATACTATATTTGTCACAGGTAATTTCTTGTTACTTCTTTCACTTATTTTGAAAGTAGAAATTAAGTAAAAAATGGATCTTTAGAACATGTTTATTCAAAAAGCAATGCTATGTTGGTTTATAAATGCTAAAAACTGTAAAACTTTATAATTACCAACAGTCATTAACAGAAGGATATTGTACATTACTTTAAAATCAAAATAGATACATTTCAGAGCATACAAAAGCAAAATATTCTAAAATTATGTATGAGTTTAGATTAACAATGTACTGACTAACATAGTTTCTTTTTTTTGTTAAAATTAGCATTGCTAACTCAAACGAACAATAGTTCACTCATCCAAGAACATTGATCAAATGATTGTAAAGATAACTGTAACATTTACTTTTGGATCTATATAGAGTTAAACACACTTGGTTAGAGTGAAAATGGCATATTTACCAAAACACACAATTCTAACCCAAACACAACATTTAAGTTGAGCTATAATAATACTGTTAAGATAAAAAGAATAGATTTTCGCCTTCACTTGCTTATTATAAATTGGCAAAAACAGACCTTTCAAGGAGTCTGTATGAGTCTTATTCCATTGAAGTGAAAGGAATGATAATTGGTGAAGAACAATTTATAAAGGGTGGGTGATCCACTATGCCAGATTACCTAACTAATTGCAAAGCTAATAATCCACCCCTATTAGGTGAACATACTTCTCTACTGAACTAGCTTGTTTAGTGCAGTCTTAACACGCTGTTCCAGCTACTCAATGTGCTTGGTAAGCAGCAGACTTGGGCTTAAGAATTACTACCCCATACATTTCCAAGAATTCATAAGCAGGTACACTCAACTGATCATTGCTAAAATACTTAGCCAAAATGCATCGTACATAGTTACTTTCAGTTCATTTTTACCCTTTCTTCAAAAAGAAGTGAATTGATCACAAAATTTAATGCCGTTTACAGAATCTTGCTCTGTGAATAACGGCTGTTCAGTGGACATTTACTGTGATTACTTTCAGAAGAGTCAGAGGGACATAAGCTTATCAGCACTTGGTTTCAGGTTGAAGGAGAGGATATAGGTGTATTATGCACCTGAAAAAACAGGAGATCTAAGGCAGGCCTGAAATTGAGTTAAGGCCTCATTAATATTAATTAGTCAAGGTGCAGGAACCTACATGGGCACCTTGATCATTTGATGAAATTAATTTTCAGTCACTTTGCAGTCAAAGACAGCAAACAGTACTTCATTATCATTCTCTGTTACAGCGCTAAGGTAACTATGGCTGGGTAAGTAAATTCGAGTCAGTCAACTTAAATTTCCATGCAATTCTACCATCATGTCAACTAACTGTTTCTGATAATTCAACACCATTACTCCCAATGATGGTTTTCTTCGACATTCGTTACACATAATGATAGGGGATGTGTGATTTAAGAACTCTGTTCAGGAAACACATCAATTTTTAACCAGTGAATTTGCATTACAGTCAGCTATTTCAAGATAACTCAGAATTTCACAGAAAAACACTGCCAATGAGCTATAAAATGCAAAAATCTAAAGCAGTTAAATTGCATTTATCTTTTTATTGAAACTGATCAATAGCAGTATTATTAAAGTAATAATACTTTATTGAACCACCAACCAGCTGTTCAACTGGAAAATGTTTGGTAACCATTTAAAAGCAGAAAATAATAGAAGCTAGACAGTAATTCTGGAACTATTTTCCAGACCTAAAATGGGCAAATATAGAAGTTTGAAAATAAAGTTAAAAATAATGTTGCATCTGAAAAAAAAAACCATAGACTACACTGTGAGCAATCAAAAGCTTCTACAATTGAGATCCTGAATATGATGTGTGGGAATACTATGGCAGCCTGTTTACTGTGTTTAAATTTATTTAATTTTGCAACCCACTGTCTTAAATCCAAAATTCTCTTGATATGACATAAAACATTTCATTTTCTCAATTCTCAAATGACTACTTCTGTTCCTAATTCATATGTTGGAAAGTATGCATAAATTCACTTCAATTCTCATCAGTAAAGTCCAAATAAAGAGTCACATTAAGCTTCAGTGTCTTCATCTAGAATAACATACATTAGGAAAGTACTGTTAGAGTAACATTCCCTTTTGTGCGCTTCAGGATACCAACAGCTTCTTCATGTGTCACGCCCTCGAGGCTTTGTCCATTGACAGCAATTATTTGATCCCCACGTTTCAGGCGCCCATCTTCAGCAGCTGCTCCCTAAAAGTTACAACATCTTTAGATTTAACAGTGACAGTACGCTAATAATAACATGGTAACTGAGTGATTTTTGCTGTATCCAGCTTAACTTTTGTTCCTACAATTGCATGAAAATTTGTGAAGTATGAGTGGTGCAGTAGTCTCAATTTCTGAAATATATCCATACAGCATGTTGACAAACGTAATTAAGAAACAAACTTCTGCAAATATAGTTTCATAGTGCTAGATTACTCCAGCACCATTCCCACATAATTAGCCACTATATCTGTGCCTGACAGTGAGCGCTGGCAAGCAATTTGAACCTACAGGGCATTAACACACTCTACCTTCTGTTCCCCTCCTAAACCATACCTTCGAGTTAATTGAACTGCAATAGAAATGGAATTCCTGGCTGATTCCCTTCACCAGCCATCACCACTAACAGAATCCAGGAACCTTAAGAAAGCTAATCTTGATCTTAATCACTGCTCTAGAGATTTAAGTCAGCTGCCTCTGCAATCCCTGCTCTAGGTCTTTGACTTGGAGATCCTGCTGCAGGATCTCTGCAACTGAAGTGAGGGCATATTTGCCACGGATGGGTGGGGAATGAGAGGTCAGCCTCTTCATGAAATAGGCCAATTAAGTGAGCAACAGGAGTGTGGTCCCTAACATCTTGAGCGCCCGCTGGGAAGAAATATGTCACACTTGTTGAGGGTGCCAAGCCCCATAAACTCACTTGCTCAGCACTTTCCTGCACAATACTCCTCACTGCATCTCACATTGCAATTCCACTAATTTCCTTCTCCAGACACCATCTCACATCCCCATCTAAATATCCAAGAGTCGTATAAATTTGTCTTCTCACTTGCATGCCTCACAGTCACCCTTCGCAAAACTATTCATTCATTGTCTAATTTTTAACACTCACAACCTCTGCTCCCTCTCAGTGAAGGAAGTGCAGATGCGAATGGACAGGCAGAAAGCTGGGAGAGAGGTTTTGATGCAGGTGCGGCTCCTGTGATAATATTAATGATCACTGCCAATGTGTGCTCAGTTGGTCTGCAGAGAAACAGGCCTTGTTTCAGGGAGCTGCATGTTTCAGCAGTGATCTGCTAAAAAAGCCTGAGCCTCACAATGCAGTGGCGTTCAGATAAGCTGACATGTTATGCACTGATCCTCTGCCTGTAGACCCTGTGTTGGGATCTTGCTTCTGTTAAGTTGGAGCTTGCTTCCTCCCAACTATCCTGTGAAGTGGAATCAAACTGAGGAGATAGCAATTGGCATTGCAGCTGGTGATGCTCCTGGTGCTGTTGCTGCTTGGTTAGCTTCCCAGATGTCCAAGACAGAGCTGAAAGCTCTGCAGTGAAAGGTGACAACAGGGAACGACAGAATGTGACTGAAGACAAGGCAAGGTGATTTCCAAGACATTGGAAATCATCTTTTAATTAATGAAGGCATTCTCTCACATCAGTCTGTCAGTCAGTGTAGCTGCAGGAGCGCTTCCAGTTGCACACTTGGCTGATTGACTCCAGAGGAGTTCCCTATATTTTGAGGAAGAAATTACTAGCTATCACAGCCACAATGCTGGGTCAATTTCTTTCTACACTGAAACAATTTGCCCTACAGCTCCACAGAGATTTCCTGCTTGCCTGCAAACCTGCCTAGGCTAAACCCAGAAATGAGGGAATCCTGTCAGGTTTATTGCTCAATGTCACATTTTAAAGACTTTAACTCCTTGCCCAAAACTGAACTCATCTTTTGTTGGTAGTTGAAATCCTGACCTGTGCTTCGGTTTAATGATAAACTGAATTAAATAAACATGCTCTGAAACTGAAAGACAGACATACATGCATTCGACAAGAGTTTAAAAAAATCAGACATCTTCGTTGTCTCATTACCTTCACAAATACTGTCTTCACATAAATAGGAAGATCTCCATGAGGACTGCCATATCCACCAACAATACTAAAGCCCAGTCCATCAGCACCTCTGTCCAAAGTAATTGTTTTATATTGTGGAGGCCTGAAGGATAACAGAAACAATGATATTCAGTATTGTATAATCTTCCCATGGCCTCCTGCTTGACCCCACCCCACCACATCCAAACTTAATTTATAAAATTTCATAATTTTATGCCTTGGTCACCCTATCCATTTCTTGAGAAGGATTCGTGCTATAATCAAATTCAAATAAATATCAGTAAGACTGAATCAAATGCCTTAGGTTCCTAGTAAAACCTTGTCACTGAATCCATCCTCTCCCTAGAATAGGGGTTTCCAAACCATGAATTAACAATTCACTATGTAGACTCACACAATTCTTGGCTCTGAGGGCTAGTCTTCAAAACCATTGCACCCACTCAACAACATGCTCCTCCATCCATCCCTGCTCAATTCTCTCCTTTATTTTACTAACAACTCTCTCCTTCCTAAAAACCCCAATCACTCGGCAGCTGATCATATTTTCATGTATTAAAATGAGGTCACAATGGAAAACAATTCAGAAGCCACTAACCTAGAAACAAGCTGAGGCTGAAGGTCGCCTGCAACATTGGTATTTTGGTGACATCAGTCTCCAGCCTGGGCCTCTGGTTTATGAGTCCAGTAAATTACCACTATCCAATCACTTCCCCTAAGAATGGTTGAAACCAAGTTAAAGTTTCAAGATATCTGCTCTGGACTTGAAACCTTTTGTTTTCTATATTCATTCATTGGAAAGTGGGCATTGTTAGCTAGGTCAAGCATTTACTGCCCATTCCTAAATCCTTGAGAGACTGGAGGTAATGAGCTGCTTTCGTGAAATCCTGCAATTCATGCGGTGTAGGCACACCTACAATGCTGTTAGGAAGGTTTAGGATTTTGACTGAGCAATACCGTATATAGCATACTTTTTATTAACCAGCACCTATGGGACTAGAGTGTGCTGGTTGATCAAATATTCCGGATAATCAAGAGGTACATATAACCACAGTAAACCCTGACTATGTGAAGCTTCAAGACATCAACATCCTTTAAAAAAGTGTACATAAAAACATCAACTAACCTCCTAAAATCAATGTAAAAACACACATTAAGTGATAGAAATATAATGCAGTGAGTATACCTATCACTGTTATTACTTTATTTACATAATAAATACTCAGACATTGCAGTAGATTGTGGTATTTGAGGTATACAATTTTTGCTCGTTTATCAAGAGTGCCGGTTAAAACAAAGTTTGCTGTATTTCCAAGTCAGGATTGTGACTGGCTTGGACAGGAACTTGCAGGTGTGTCTGTTGCTCTTGTCCTTCTCCAGTAGTGGTCATGGACTTGGAAGTTGCTGCCTAAGGAGATTTGGCGAACTTCTGCAGTGCATCTTTTAGATAATACCAATGCTCAGTAGCAGCAGTGTGTACTAAGGAGAGTTAATGTCGATTGTGTTAGATAGAGTGCCAATCAAGCATACTGCTTTGCCCTGGATGGTATTGAGCCTCGAGTGTTATTGGAACTGCATTAAATTCAGACAACAGTACTCCATTACACTTCATTTTGAGGCATCAGGTGGTAAGTTACCACAAATCCCCAGCCTTTGATCTACTCTTGCGGTCACAGTATTTATATGGCAGGTCTAGTTAAATTCTTGGTCAATTGTAGCTCCCCGGATGTTGGTAGTTGAAGCTTTAGAGTTGATAATGCCATCCAATGTTAAGTGGATTTGGCTGGATTCTTTCTTGCTAGAGATGGTCATTGTCTGGCATTGAGTGGTGAAAATCTTACTTGCCACTTATGAGCCCAAGCCTTAATACTGTCAAATATTACTGCATTTGGGCATGAAATGCTTCAGTATCTGAGGAGTTGTGATTGATGCTAAAGATTGCGCAATCATCAGCAAACATCCTTGCCTCTCACCATAAAATGGAGGAAAGGACATTGATGAAGATGGTTGGGCCTTGGACACTAACCAGAGGAACTCCTGCAGTGACGTATGTAATGAGATGATTGACCTCCACCAATGCTAACCATCTTCCTTTGTGCCAGATATGACGCCAAACAGCGGAGTGCTTACCCTCCCATTTCCCACTGACTCCAATTTTGCTAGAGCCCCTTGATGCTACACTTAGTCACTTATAATCAATGGAAAAATGAAGTGAACATGGGGAAATGGGTTACTAAAGAAAAATCAAAGTGTTGATTATGACTAAACGCAGGATCAGACGCAACAAAAACAGAAGTTGCTGGAAAAGCTCAGCAGGTCTGGCAGCATCTGTGAAGGGAAAAACAGAGTTAATGTTTTGGGTCCGATGACCCTTCCCCAGTTCTGAGAAACTTTGTTTTTATTCCGCAGTTCTTTCGTTTTTTTACAAAAGAAACGAGAACTGAAGAACATGGGGACTAAATAGAATACTCTAAAAATAAACCCAAGAAATAGTGCTTTTGAACTGCTTCCCCAGTACTTCTCCCTTCACCTGTAACACCAATGTATTTTTTAATCTGTCATCTCTGTCTGTCCGCATGCGCTGGGAGTTTTAGAAGGGGGTTGGAGTATTTCAACAGTTCATACCTGTTTACTATAGTTAGAATCTATTTATTTGCAATAAATAGTAGCTCCTGTTAAGTACAGAAACCTGGTCTGTGTTTTCTGCGTTAACATAGGTCTCTCTGAAAGATAAATTGAAAAGTTTGCATGCTTCATCAAAATGTTTATCTTTTGTGATGACTCAAGGAATAGCCACCCTTAATTTGTAGAGTACTCCTCTAGTGACACATGACAAACAAATTTAACAGACAAAATTACAGAAATTTTATTTAGATGTCAAACAGACAGATTCCTGCGCTTTAACTGGAGTTAGCTCCTCAAAGAGATGTACTTTTGAATCAGATGTCTGAAGTTCAAAAAAAAAATCTTTGTTAAGTAACATTTTCTAGTGGCCTCCAGGCAAAAGTAAGAACATTTGATGGTGTTACAAATAACGGAGCATTCAAAACCATTATGATATGGGACACGGGAAATATTATAACAGAAGGATCACAAACAAAATAAATGAGAATAAAAACTTGTATATCAGATGGCAGGAATGCAGCAGTAATCGAAGAATTAACTGTAGGAATGCCCAGGGAATAATTAGCAGGTATTTTATATAAACTGAAATATCATTATGTAGTAAATAGTCCAAATTGGAATAACAGGGTTTGAGGCAACGCATGACACACAGGATTCTGAAGGGAAGACGATGATACTGATTAGTCTGAGGAAATTGTACTAGTCACAAGATAATTCAGTCCAAAAATCAGGGTACTAGTCACAGATTTATTTAATGGCACCATGTTAGACAGTGGTTGCACATCCACAGTATGTGGATTGAACTGGTTGATAGGCAGTTGGAATTCACTCAGTGTTAAGGATCAAAGTAAGTTTAAGGAATATGAAAGTTCTATTTGCTTCAGGTTTGGTAATGACAATATGTTAAAGTCACTAAGAAGAGTAGCGATTCCACGTGAAACTGCTCAGTTAAGCCACTTTATTAGTACAGGTACACCATCTGGTGAGACACCTTTGCTGCTGAGCCAGTCATCGATGAAAAAAGCACAAACAAAATTGAATGTAGGACATGATAAATTGTTATCTCTGAAAGTCAGTAGATTTGCACCTTATCCAACTATTGCATCTCTAACAAAAACCAGCGTCTCTAGTCAGAATATCAGAGGCATTTATGCCACTACGTGATCAGAATTTTGAGACAGGAAAAAAAGATAAATTGTTTTCAAGTTAAATTGGCAATTTTCTCACACATCTTCCTACAGGTTAAAAAAATCCTGAACGATGCAGGGATGGATGATGAATACATTAAGCGCATTGAAGATATTAGTACAAAATATGATATATACAAAGAGTATCAGGGAACATCATCGTGGCCTTTTCAAGTCTCCCATCAGTACTTAAGTAGGAGCTATTGATCTCAAGATGCGGGAAAGGATAGAAACATTTTAATTTTACGTTTGAAAGACCTGAAATTAAGATTTTCAACCTGTCTGCATTGTAGATGGGGACAGGGACTGGACTGGGAGGATCATTTAAATTCCTAACTAACAATCTGGTATGGGGTGGGTGGGGGAGTAAATGAAAATAAGAAACATGATGATGATGAATGCTTAAAGAAATCAAGCTGTGACTGATGAGTCACTTCACAAGATTTTAGTTGACCAACTAGGATTGTACACCTGCCCTTGTGTGGATCATCCACACAAAGAATACTGTATATATTCCATTTTAATCTATGGAAGAAAGCCAAAACTACCTTTGATAATGAGAGAACATCATCTAGTCTTAAAAGGGAAAACAATTAGCTCCCTCTTTGAGACTGGGAATTGCATATAGAAAGACAGCATCACTTGTGAAGCAGACAGCAAGGAGTGAGTATCAAGGCAGCTGTATGTGAAGCTGTCTGGGAGGGGTGTGCAGCAAGTCAGCACCACTTGCGAAGCAGCTTGGAGAACGTACTTGTCAGAAAAGGGAAAATGTACTTGTGACAGAAGGACAGAGTGGCTGGAAACAGAAACTGGGCGAGGAGAGCCCTTTCAAAACTACTAGTACCCATCAGAGCCAAAGCATGAAGTCACAGGAAAACCAATAACTGATTTGTAGGTATTCATTCCACATCTCTTTCAATTGGAAACTGATTTAAATCAGAAGATGCTATTACAGCTGCAATGCGAAGGTAAGAAATTCACTTAAAATATTTAACATCTAACTTAATTAATTAAACAGAGATGGTTGAGCAGGACAGATGTGGCAGCTATAGTTTATGGGAGCTGGTGGACACAAGCGATCCACAGTGACCACATCTTCAGCAAGTGCTGACTGCTCGAGGAATGTAACTCAGGACTGATGAGCTGCAGTCTGAGCTGTGGACATGATGACAGATCAGGGCAGGGAAAAGGTCATAGAGTCACAGAGCTCTACAGCACACAAACAGACCCTTTGGTCCAACTCATCCATGCCGACCAGATATCCTAAATTAATCTAGTCCCATTTGCCAGCATTTGGCCCATATCCCTCTAAACCCTTCCTATTCATATATGCACCCAGATGCCTTTTAAATGTTGTAATTGTTTTAGCCTCTACCACTCCCTCTAGAAGCTCATTCCAGGTATCTGGACACTATTTCTGGAGACACACACTCCTTAGATTATATATATCAAATTTGGTCGATGGTCAGAGACAGGAGGGTGTGACTGCAAGTGAGACAGTTCCAGAGTTTAGCTTTGGACAAGCGTCGGTCAGTGCCCCTTTGCAATAGACAAAAGGTTCTTGTTACCAGTATGGATGAGGGCACAGACTGGAGGGTGGGTGAGCAAACTGACCAATGTGCCATGGAACAGAAAGTTTGGTATGATAGCTGTATCTTTAACACACTTGTTACAGAAACAAGTAAAGGTGGTATGGTCAGCAGAATGACAATCCGTCTTTGACATTCTGGAGGCAATCTTAATAAATGACCAGTACTGGTAAGCGATACTCGTCTTTTCAGACCCTTCAAAATGGCATTTGATATTAGTGATTTGTGACATGGGTGCTGTCTGTCACAAGATAATGAGTTAGAAACAAGAGAAGCCAGTGAGCTACTCGAGTCATAGAGGTCCACAGCCACAGAAAAAGGTCCTTCAGCCTATCGAGTAATCTCATTTTCCAGAACTCGGTCCACAGCCTTGTATGCCTTGGCATAGCAAGTGTATATCTAAATACTTTTTAAATGTTATGAAGGTTTCTGACTCTACCACCCTGTTAGGCAATGAGTTCCAGAAACACACCACTATCTGGGTGAAAAGAAATTCCTCACATCCCCTCTAAACCTCCTGCCTCTTACCTTAAATCTTAGAAGAACAAAGGAATCACATGCAACGTGCCTTACTGACTCGTGCCTAGTGGCTTTGACCTCCATAATCCTGAAGTGCTTCGAGAGGCTGGTGGTCATGGCCCACATCAACTCAAGCCTCCCACCCTGACTCGATCCCCTGCAATTTGCCTACTGATGTAATAGGTGCACAGAAGACACCATTTCCCTAGCTCTGCACTCATCCCTGCAACACGTGGACAACAAGGATACCTATGCGCGACTCTTACTCATCGACTATAGCTCTGCCTTCAACACCATAATCCCCTCCAGACTCATCTCAAAACTCCAAGACTTAGGTCTCAGCTCCATCCTCTGCAATTGGATCTTCAGTTTCCTTACCACAAACCACAATCAGTGAGGAGAGACAACTGCACCTCCTCCACAATAGCCCTCAACACTGGAGCCCCCCCAGGGATGCGTTCTCAGCCTCCTACTGTACTTCCTGTACATCCACGACTGTGCAGCCAAATTCTGAATAACTGCCATCTACAAATTTGCTGATGGCACCACTGTGGTAGGACAAATATCGAACAATGAATCAGAATACAGAAAGGAGATAGAGGGCTTGGTGTCTTGGTGCAATGATAACAAACTTTCTCTCAATGTCAGCAAAACAAAAGAGCTGAGCATTGACTTTAGAAAGGAAGGAGGAGAACAGGCCCCCCATCTACATCAATGGAGCAGAGGTTGAGAGGGTTGACAGCGAGAAATTCCTAGGAGTGACGATAACTGATAACCTTTCCTGGACTTCCCACATAGATACAATGGTCAAAGCGGCACAACAACGCCCCTTCTTCCTCAAGCGGCTTAGGAAATTCGGCAACCTTTAAAGATGCAGTACTATCCGGGTGCATAATGGCCTGGTACAGCAACTGCTCTGCCTATGTCCGTAAGAAACTACAGAAGGTCATATGCACAGCCCAGACCATCACAGAAGCCAACTTTCCATCCATGGACTCCATCTACACTTCTTGTCATCGCAGAAAGGCTAATATCAAAGACCCCTCCCACCCTGGCAATGCTCTCCTGCAAAGTCTTCCATCAGGTAGAAGATACAGAAGCTTGAACACATGCACCAACAGCTTCAAGAATAGCTTCTTCCCTGCTGTTATTCAACTGATGAACGGGCTCTCTAACTACAAATAATGTTGATTTTGAAACCTGTATGTTTCACTCTAAGCACCCTATGATTGTATGTCCTTGCTTACTGTGATCTGCCTGTACTGCTCACAAACAAAGCTTTCACTGTACTTAAGTACACGTGACTGCAATAAATTAAATCAATCAATTAAATCTATGGACCCAGTCATGGATTCCTCCACCACGGGGAAAAATGTCCATTCCTCTCTACATTATATCCCTCATAATACATCTGAATCATGACCTCCAACTTAGTCTCTTCTGCTCCAAGGAAATAACCTTCTAATAACAGCAAGTATACGACATGCCTTCTTAACCAATTTACCTACCAGTCCTGCTACCCTAGGGGACCGGTGGACATACACACCAAGGTTCATCTGATCCTTGGTGCTTCTCAGGGTTGTTAATCGTGTATTCCCTTGCCTCGTCTGGCCTGTCCAAGTGCATCACCTTACACTTATTCAGACTGAGTTCCATTTGCCACTGAGCAGCTCATCTGACTAATCTGTCTATATCCTGCTGTAATCCAAGGCTATTTTCACTATTTACTACTCCACCAAATTTCATATGATCCGCAAACCTACTGATCAACCCTCCTAAATTCAAGTCTAAATCATTTACATAAACCACAAACAGGAAAAGTCCCAATACTGATCCCTGTGAACTGGAACAGAATGTTGGTCCTTATTTCAAGGAAGTTGGAGTATAAGAGTATCTTATCTCAACTGTACAAGGTGCTGGTAAGACCATATCAGTAGTGGAATAAGGGTTATGGGGAAAAGGCAGGAAAGTGGATATGAGGAATGTTGGATCAGTCATGATCCTATAAAATGGCAGAGCAGGCTCAAGGGCTAATGGGCAACTTCTTCACGCAGAGGGTGGTGCGTGTACAGAATGAGCTACCAGAGAAAGTGGAGGAGGCTGGTACAATTACAACATTTAAAAGGCATGTCTAGAACTCTATGACTCAAGGCCTACTCCTGTTCCTATTTCTTATGGAACCCCACTGGTCACAGACTTTCAGTCACAAAAACACACCTCAACCATTACACTTTGCTGTTCAAATTTATCACCTGACATTTCTCTGGATTGAATTCTATTTGCCACTGTTCAGCCCATCAGACACTTCCAGTGGGAAAAACATCCCTCAACAATCACCCCCTGCTTCCTGCCACTCAGCCAACTGTGGATCCCATTTTCCAAACCTTCTTAAGATCCTGTAGGCCCTTACCTTTGTTATCAGTCTTCCACACAGAACCTGATCCAAAGCCTTGCTGAAGTCCAAGAAAACGTCAAATTCATTGCCCTTACCTACGTTTGAAAAGTTCAATCAAAATAAAATAACTGTCCTGCCCAAATTTTCAATTTCTCAGGCAATTCCCTCAGAATCAGGCTGTACATGGTCCTGACATGCAACTCCAATCTATCTGCAGTGACCAACAGGCCATTGGAATATCTGGGTCCTTCTACTGTATTTTCAGATAATAATCCTCCTTCTAAAAGGTTATACTGTGTGCAGTAAATCCAAAATACTCACCCTAGGTCATCATGAAGGATGCTACTTGCTATCAATCCTGAGACAGAAAGTGTAGTTGTGGTATGCTCCTGCTGCTGATTAGTTATCACACTAACATCACCGCCTGCAACCACCTAGAAACAATCGTTCATAACTGGTTTCAGAATGCACAGCGATACATGAGAATTTTAAAGATACAACTGTTGAAATTAATGCAAGAAGATTTTGACAGATCAGAATCAGAAATTAAGTAGATGAATTCACCAATCAAGACCAAACAAACAAAACATTAACAAACGGCAAGTTCCCACTGAATCACACAATGCTTTGTCATACCTGTAATTCAATACGACCTGAAACATTCTTCAGCACGCTGACAGCCTGGGAATGAGTCAAGCCCTCTGTAGGTTTCCCACAAATACTTACAATTCTGTCCCCAATCTATAATTAACAACACAGGAGTAAAATTAGTTGCTTTGTCAGGTAACTGGCATATCTCTTGGACTGAAGTTATATGAAAGATACATATCTCAAACTGCTACCTAATGTGTTTAAAGTACTATCAGCAGACCAGAATTGCACTATCAATTGCCCAAACACTAAGGTTAGTAATAACAAAGTTCTGCACACAGACTTGGATTAATTTTTAGCGTTCAAAGATTGTAACAGCACTATTCAATTTCTCTTGGTACAAAACTACAAACCTATTTATAACATTTTCATTAGGCTCCTGGTCACTTTTAAGATGATGCTGAAAGGCAATGGGAGGCCACTACTGGAGGTGATCTTAAATCTCAACCTTTAATGTGTTTGGCGATCTAAATCTGAAGTTAATAGCTATTTTCAAGTCAAAGCACACCTGGAATAATCAAGCATAAACTTGAACAATATTACAAATCAGGTTAGCCTACTGCAAACTGTTAATGCTAACTAATCAATTTGAATGATTTTATTGAATACATACATCCACATGTGGTTGACTTTTATGCACTGAAATTCAGTTGTAGAATTTTAGGGGAAGGACGAAGTTGTACTGCAAAGTATTTACTCTGAAATATTTTAATTCATCTCGATAATGCTATTTATACACATAAAGGTACAAGAGTCTGAAAAGGTTAATTCTGAGAAATAGCTTAAGCACCCTCATTATGATTATGCTAGGTAGGCTTTTGGGAAGAACAGTTTAGGATTTCAAAGGGGTAAGGTCCTCCTTAAAGTCTGTCTGGGAACAGTTATCACATCATTGTAATCTGTAACTAGTTGCTAATAAATTTCCTCTTGTTCAATACAAGAGTGTCTTCTAATTAGACCAGTAACTGGCTTTCGTTTATAATACTACACCAAACAGACGCTGTAGTTAATTACACTTAGGAGAATGGTGACAGCAAATACATTACATGATGAAATACAGATTTAGGTTGATTGTGTATGTACAACAGATAATACAACTTAAAGATCAATTATTCCCTAAAACAAAGCTCAAAGTACAGAAAATAAGCTTTAAAGATAGCTATTTGCACAATGAGTAGAGTAAAACAGAAAGTTAAAAACAAAGAGCTGTGCATGATCCTATATTGTTATTTCTGCAGAATGTAGCTTTCTACACAATAAATGGTTGGGGGGAAAACAAGGGCATAAAATCAGGAGTAAACTCCAATTGAAAAGTTTTCAACACCTGACACTGCATTATTGTGGCATTTTAACAAACCTGGCTTTAGATAATCCTACTTTACTGAACACTACTCTTTATGATAGATGTTCTTATCTGAGATATTTATCAATAAATACAGAATGGAATCTCCTGAATAATTTCTTAACAAGTAATCAGTCAAAATTTAAAACTACAAACTTACCCGCAGCTTCTGGGTCTGGGCTGCTACTCCATTTGGCTGCATCATTGCAATAAAAATGGGGACATCTCCAAGAGGACTACCTACTCCTCCTGCAATGCTGATTCCCAGTGAATCAGTAGGCCCCTGTGGTCAACAACACTACATGAATTATAATTCCAAGGAAATAAAAAGATAGTGTACTTTGCAGGTTTAAAATGGCTTGCAATGTTATTATACTGGATTGCTCTTGCTCTGTAGCAGAATTAAGGCTTGCAGGTCACATTTGACCACTATCCCCTTTCTCTCATCTATTATAAATCTTCTGAATTTTTCTTCATGTACTTTCACTTGTACTATTACTATGACAATACTTACTACTGCAATGTACATTCATGTTGCTCCTTCAGAGGAGCAAGAAAAATTTGAGGAACAAAAACAGAAGTTACTGGAAAAGCTCAGCAAGTCTGGCAGCATCTGTGAAGAAAAAAAAAAATCATCTTCACAGTTGCTGCCAGACCTGCTGAGCTTTTCCAACAACTTCTGTTTTTGTTCCTGATTTACAGCATCCGCAGTTCTTTCAGTTTTGAAGAAAAATTTGAGGGCAAATGAGTAGAGTTAAAAGGTCACTGAAAGTCAGAAGCATTCAAGGTTTTTTTTTAAAGAAGATTTATAGCTGGATTGTTGATACGGTTGTTGACTTACTCGCCGAGCTGGTAAGTTTGTTTGCTGATGTTTTATCACCACACTAGGTAACATCATCAGTGCGCCTCCGGTGAAGCAGTGTTCTGTCCCACTCGTTATTTGTGTGTCTCGGTTTACTGGGGCGGGTGACATCACATCCACATTTGTTTCTTAGTGGTTAGTATATACGGTCCAGCTCTATATATTTGTTAACTGAGCTCCAGTCGGAGTGCCAGGCCTCCAGGAATTCTCATGTGTGTCTTTGGTTGGCTTGTCCTAGGATGTCTACATTGTTCCAGTTGAATTGGTGACCTTCTTTCTCCATGTGTATTGAAATTAGTGATAGTTGGTCATGTCTCTTGATAGCTAGTTGGTTTTCATGAATCCTGATAGCTAGTTTCCTTCCGGTTTGCCTACATAATGCTTTTGGCAGTCTTTGCATGGTATCTTGTAAATAACTTTGGTTCTGTTAGCTGTGGTTGTCGGATCCTTTATTCTCATTAATAGCTGTCGTAGTGTAGCTGTTGGTTTGTGGGCTACCATGATTCCTAGGGGAAGGAGTAATCTGATGGTCATTTCAGATATATCCTTAATGTACGGTAGGGTGACAAGTGTCTCTGGACGTGTTGTGTCTTCCTGTTGTGGTCTGTTGTGTAGCTATCAGCGGACTACACTTTTTGGGTAACAGTTGTTTCTAAAGATGCTGTTTTTCCTCGGCTTTGCGCAGCTACGGGATGCTGCAGTGTGTTGTGGCTCACTTGAACACTGTTTTGATGCAGCTCTGTGGGCATTGGGATGATCCTATTGTAGTTCAGTACCTTATCCGTATGGGTGGCCTTCTTGCGCACGCTGGTCTGGAGCTCGCCATCTGCCTTACGTTCAACTATTTGTTCCAGGAAGGGAAGTCTGTTGTTGCTCTCCTCTTCTCTGGTAAATTTCATAATGGTGAGAATGTTGTTTATGAGTAGATGGGTTTCCTTCTGTTTAGAGCATTTGATAATGACAAAGGTGCCACCCACAGAGCAGATCCATAGTTTTGGTTGGATGGTAGGATGGGCTGTCCGCTCCAGTCTTTGCATTATGGCTTCTGCTATTAATCCTGATATCAGTGATCCCATGGGCGTTCTGTTGATCTGTCCGTATACATTGTTGAAGAAAGTGAAGTGGGTTGTAAGGCACAGATCCAGTAGTTTGAGGGTGCCGTCTTTGCTGATGGTGTTGGTGTTGGGTATTGGTATTATCAGTTGTCTGTATCCCTGGTCTGTCTAGCAGCGAGGCTAGTGTTTCCTTAGCTAGCAGGATGTTTATGGAGGTAAATAGTGCAGTCACATTGAAGGAATCTCATCCTCATCTGTTCTGGCGTCCTTGATGATGTTGAGGAATTCTTGGGCAGAGTGGATGGAGTGGTTTGAGCCGTCTACTAAGTGTTTCAGTCTCCTTTGTAGTTCTTTTGCTAGTCTGTATGTCGGTGTATCTGAAAGTGAGACTATAGGTATGAGAGGAACCTCCGGTTTGTGTACCTTGGGGAGTCCATAGAAGTGGTGCATGTTTGATCACTCTGGTTTCATTCTCTAGTAATCAAATTTCCAAATTTCATCCATTTTGTGTAGACTCCTCAGGGTGGTGAAAATATAATTTTCCAATTGTGGTGTTGGGTCTGTTGCCATCTCTTGTTAGGTGTCAGTATCTGCCAATAAAGTGTTGGCTTTGTCGATGTACTGTGTTCTGTTCAGTATGACAGTTACGTCCACCAGTTGGATCACAATGTTCCTTTCTCTCGATTCCTTGTAGGCCTTTCTTCGCTACTGTGTTGAATGTGTTCCCTTCACTCCTTCGGCTTAGTGTTGGGTCTACTACCTGCCTGACACTTGGTTAGGTTTCTTCGGTGGATCCGTTGCTTTTTAATGTGGATTCCAGTGCAGTCAGGAAGTCAGTTTTATTAGCATCCCTGTGATTGTAGCTTAGTCTGCGTACCAGGTCGGCTTTTTCGGTGTCTGAGTGTGGCCGATCAGATAGGTTCCTTATCCAAGTGTCTGCCCTGTCTGTGTCGTTGTTGTGGGTAAGTTTACTCAGTTTTTCCAGTAGGGCCTGTCTTTTCTTGGTCTTGAATCTTCTGTTGTTTCATGGTAATGGATCGTTTGAGTGTTGCAGTCCATTCTTGGCTGGTTGAGCAAGTTTTATGGTGCTCAAAAGAAACTTTGTATTCAAACTCGACAGCTGGTTGCTCTGAAACACTTAATAGATGGCTCAAACTGCTCCATCCACTCTGCCCAAGAATTCCTCAACCTCATCAAGAACAGCAGAATAGATGAGGACAAGATCATGGTCTCCTTTGATGTGACTGCACTACTTACCTCCATAAACATCCTGCTAGCTAAGGAAACACTAGCCTCACCACTAGACAGACCAGGGATACAGACACCCGATAACACCAACACCATCAGCAAAGATGGAAATCTCGAATTACTGGATCTGTGCCTTACAACCCACTTCACTTTCAATGGCAAGGTATACAGACAAATCAACAGAACACCCATGGGATCACCGATATCAGGATTAATAGCGGAAGCCATAATGTAAAGACTGGAACAGACAGTCCTTCCCACCATTCAACCAAAACTATGGATCGGCTATGTGGATGACACCTTTGTCATTATCAAACATTCTAAACTGGAGGAACCCACGTACTCATAAATAACAACATCACAGTCATAAAATTCACCAGAGAAGAGGAGAACAACAACAGACTTCCCTTCCTGGAACAAATGATCGAACGCAAGGCCAATGGTGAGCTCCAGACCAGCATACACAGGAAGGCCACCTATAAGGATCAGGCACTCAACTACAATAGCAATCATCCCAATACCCACAAACAGAGCTGCATCAAAACACTGTTCAAGCGAGCCGCAACACACTGCAGCATCCCAGATCTGCGCAAAGCTGAGGAAAAACACCTACGCAGCGTCTTTAGAAACAACATTTACCCTAAAAGCGTAGTCCGCCAATACCTACACAACAGACCACAACAGGAAGACACACCACGTCCAGAGACACTAGACACTTTACCATACATTATGGACATACCTGAAATGACCACCAGGTTACTCTGTCCCCTAGGAATCATGGTAGTCCACAAACTGACAGCTACTAACCAGAATAAAGGATTTGACAGCCACAACTAACAGAACCAACATTATTTACAATATACCATGCAAAGACTGCCAAAAACATTACATAAGGAAAACCGGAAAGAACCTAGCCCTCAGGATTCACGAACTATCAAGAGACATGACCAACTATCACTCATTTCAATACATATGGATAAAGAGGGACATCAATTCAACACGGACAATGTAGCCATTTGAGGACAAGCCAATCAAAGACATGCACATGAATTTCTGGAGGCCTGGCACTCAAACCGGAACTCCATTAACAAACACATAGAACTGGATCCCATATACCAATTACTAAGAAACAAATCCGGAAGTGATGTCACCCAACCCAGCAAATTGACACACATAAATTGCAAGTGGGACGAACACTGATGCTTCACCAGTGGCGCACTGATGATGTTACCTGGTATGGTGACGAAATGTCTGCAAACAAACTTATCAGCTCGACGAGCAATTCAACAACCAAGTCGAAAGCATATTTTAAATTTTAAAAGATACTGAGATGTCTCAATTACACACATTTTTCAAATGACCTCCTAGTTGGTAGAAGAAATCTTATTCTCTCAGACCAAAGTAGTTACCTGTACATTACTAAAATTTCTACGTCAAGTAAAAGGCTCACTCTGCACTTTGTATAGTTTTACTTCTCCTGCGAGTACAGCAAATTTTAATTATCCAGTATCTATGGGACCAGGAGTGTGTCGATTGATCAAACATTCCACATAATCAAATGGTTGACATAATCAATGTATAAACACACCACATAATGGAAACATAATAAAGGGGATATGGACTTCACTGTTATACTTAATTTACAGCACAAATCAGAAATAATAATGCAATTTTGTCTTAAATAAAACTTACTGTAGACAGCCTTCTCAGCTGCACCGTCAACTGACTACCTCGGACATTGCGATACATTGCGGTATTTGAAAAGAAATTGACTCAAAATTGAATCAATTGTTCATACTTTCATCAATCATAGAATCCCTACGGTATGGAAACAGGCCCTTTGGCCCAACAAGTCCACACCACCCCTCAGACCCATCCCTTATAACCCACCTAATCTACACATCCCTGAACACTATGGGCAATTTTAGCATGGCCAATCCACCTAGCCTGCACATCTTTGGACTGTGGGAGGAAACCAGAGCAGACACAAGGAGAATGTGCAAACGCCACACAGACAGTCACCCGAGGGTGGAATCGAACCTTGGTAACCACTGAGCCACCGTGCCACGTGTGGCCATTTGACTGAACAACAAGTATATTTACAGTGAGGTAAGTATA